CAGACTCACACTGGCATTATTACTGTGCTGCAATCCTCAGTTCCTTCAGCCTGGAAACAAGAAATCTGGGAGGCCTTCTGAATTCTGTTTCTAACCTCTCTCAACCTACACTGGCCCCTAGGAACACATTAAAAGAGAAACAGATTGCTCTGTCTATCCATTATTGGAAGTAAGCAAACAAACTTTCAAGAATAAAAAAGCACATAAACAACAAATCAGTCATATCGGAAAAATCAAAGAGCAGCCAAAGCAGATTCTCAATTTAAGGAAGCTATGAAAGCTTTTCCTTACATGCTTGATCTGCTGAAACAGAAATAATTGAGCCCTCCTCCTTTAAACTGAAAAGCCTCATCATTCCACAAAAACTTTGAGACAGCCACAGTCTCAAAACTCACATTCACAGAAAGCTATATTTTGACAGACACTGATGGCAGGAGCAAAGATGACATGTTCTTCATACGCAGACAAAAAAAATATGTCTTTTTATTTTTAAGTCCACAATGCATTTATTTCTTCCCGCTGCCTTCCTAACTTCCTCCCACCRAGCTAAGTTGTGTCATCAGGCAAAAAGAAAATATTCACACCAGTTAAGAYTTTCAGTTGTGAAAGAATTCTGATACAGCGATAGTCCTTCTGATAAAAATAGAAAGCATGACACTTAGAAGTGAAATATCTATTGAGAAATAGAGCTAAAAAACATTCTAAATGCTATGACCCCAAAACACTGGGACACAAGTGGTATAAGTTTGRTCCCTTGACAATTACCTGGCTTGGCTTGGCCAAAAATTGCATGGGTAAGTTCTGAAGGAGCTCTCTCCATACATCTCTGTATATACATGTATATAGTTACTTACAGAGTCTTGTTTTAACTTCTGTGTTTATTTGGTAATCAAATTTAAAATCAAYGCAAACCTTTTAAGCAATTATTAAAATCCTGCATTCCAACAATGTTGAATGMCTTCTCCCAACTTCAGCAAGTTCAGCTTCTAGAGAAATCAGATGAGCATTTCTCAGATTGACAGAAGTATCCCCATGGGACTGGGCAGGAGAAAGGCAGTTTGAGGACTACGGGAGTAAGTCATTGGTCTGTAGTTATCATTGATTAGTATGTATTCGTTAGCAAAAAAGGGGATTTCTAATTCTTCACTGAGGCAGATTTAAACATCCTTAAGCCCTGTCATGTATGGCAGAACTTTGAACTAAAAGGCCTTGCATTCCTCAAAAGGAAAAATAAAAAAGTAAATTAAAGAAGAAAAAAAAAAGGCTTAACTTAGTAATATTAGATTAATTCAYGTTGCATATTTTGAACAAAATTACAACAAATACTAAATAGCTTAATTACCACCTCAAGTGATTACAGAGTTGCCCATGAGGGCAAGAAGTCCACAGTAGAATTGTTAATMTTTTTGTTTCCCAGCCACTGTCTACATTCCATCAGAACTGTTTTAAGATAAGCCTTCCTTCAAATATATATGTATGTCCCAAAGAGCTTGGAAAGGGTGGATTTCCCATTGTAAACATCCCAAGTGGCAGAGCCAGGGCCAGGAGGAGACCAAAAGGTTCCATCCTCACCCCAGGCAATTCCCAGCTCTGGCTGTGCACTGACTCTCGTGCTGCTGAGTAAACTGTGAAACATCTTGAAACCTTAAGGGGATGGGATGGGATGGGATAGGGTGGGAGAAAAAAATTCAACAAGTTTATTCTAGCATCATCTGACACAAGACCAGATTGCCACGCTGAGCTAAACTAACTGAAAACTTTTTTTTAAAATTATGGGCATAAATAGTTTAGTTGTCTTTTCGGTGAGTTCAACAGAATGCACACTGAGAATGTTTACTTGAGATCTGATACAATTCCATTTGTGTGCAGCTTTTACATCTGTTGCTAATGATATCTAATTATTGATTGTTCACTTATATTTATTTAAACATTAACTATACACTCAGCAACTTGATGCTTTTCTTTTTTTTTTTTCTTCATTTTCCAGAGAACTCTTTATTTCTGTCTGTCTTTGGTTATAATTACTTTGATCTTCCAGAGTGTATAATTAATTTACTGTTTATTTATTTCTATGAGAAAGGAAAAAAGATTGACCTAGTAGATCTATATGTGGCAATTTGTAACAGAATCACATAGCTTGTGTTTAGGAAAWCATGGTTTTGATTAAGAAGCAACCATTTAGTTCCCACTGTTTTATTAAAACAGACATTAGCAGATAATAGGAAACACATTTAACACTGTAGGCTGCATTTAGTTTGCAGCATCAATAAAGTTATTTYGAAGCCCCTTCCTATTTTGTATTTATCACAGCTCATGTGAATTGTTTTTTGCTTTTACTTTCTAGTAACCAGCTCTAGAGCTACACAAGGATACATGTGCTGGTTCCAAAGACTCTGAATTATRGTTTTATCTAATCTATCCAGCTACAACCCAAAAACCGAATCACTGCATCATCCATTCACCTTTGTGAAAGTCTTTTTTCAAATTACTATTAAAGGAGTATGTGATGACTGATGTAACTCGAGTCACTGATTCTGCATACTAACTGAGCTTTCCTGCAGGAATATCTGACTACAGATAGGAAAAGGAACAAAACAACATGAAACGAGACATGATGAGAAACTGAAACCACCTAAAGAAGTGCAGAAGTCTYCCTGCTTGCAGACGGTTAAGATTAGTGCTCTGAAGTTGCATGACTGTTTATTCTCCATGCACCACTGTACCTGCCACAGACTCTTTGTTTTCTCTCCCACTCATATGGTTGATGAATCAACACTACTTGAACTGCTTTATAGCAGCTTGTGTTTACTTCACACATACCTTAACCTTCCTTTTTCTCCTCCTACTAACACACATAATCTTCCAAACAACAACGACTGGCTGTGTCTCTGAATAGCACAAATACAGAGTTATCTGGCAAACTCTTYGGGTTTGGATCCTTGACCTTTTGATTGAGGTTTCATTCTGCCTTTGCTGCACTTAACAATTTAACTGTGCACTTACTAAGTAAAAAAAGTAAGAGTGTAAAGCTCTAAGAATGGGAGAAAGTGGAAGACCAGCAGTGTGCTAGAAATGCTCAGAAGCTGTAGTAGCATCTCTACAGTGAAGAACACTACAGTTAAGGGCCTCCAGTGCCTTTGCAACTGGCACCCTTGCCCAGTTTYGAAAAAAGAAAAAYRAAAAAAAMAAAARAAGCCTATTTTTGTTCTCCCAGAACAGCAAGTAAAAGCGAACCGTGATGACCTCGAAGTTGTTTGATGCCTTTGATTGCTTTTTAACCAAGAGGATATGTTAAAGCACTTTGAATAAAATCCTTTTATTAAGCGACACCATTTAGAGAAAAGAAACACTTCTGAGTCACACAATGGCAATTTAGAAAAAAAAGAAAATATCCAGTTTATTTGGCATGGGGTAACCACATACTAAAACATTCAATCAACATTTTTAATTYTACCCTAAACCATTTTAGTAGGTGRAAAGCAACATCTCCATTTCCTTGCCTGCATTGTTACCCCAATTCTGCCTGGACAATCTTCCTTCTAGACACAAATAAYTTTACCACAGAACATTCTTTCTTTTTTWYCCCCAGTGAAAACCTAATMATTGCAGAGCCCAGGCATGAGTGTSTTACAGGTATGCTCYACACAAGCCAGGTATGCAGAGAAAAAACAGATGCCTCAGAACTTGTTCTGATGTTTCACACAGTTTTGTTTGATATTGTCCTAATTCCTGCAGCAGACTATTTATGGCATTATTATGCAGATTTCTAGTCTGATTTAGTCCAAACTAAATGAAACAAGCAACCTTTTGTATCTTATATATGCCAGCCTTTTAGGAGGAAAAGACAGCACACTCTTTTTGAAAGGTGCTAATCCTCACATGACTAAAAATACAATGGTTTCTCAAGAAGAACATGATATTACCCTGTTTCTTCATAATGTTTGTGAACTCTGTTATGATTTTCTTTGCTACTGAAAGGATCACCAATAGAAGCTGCACTAATAGTCTATGYCTTCTTTCAGACAATGAATCTTCCTTTCAGTGGTGTAATAGAGAGAAAAACTATAAAAAAATCCTATTCCAGGATACAGCTAATTTCTAAGAGTGATGGACATTTGGGGAGAGAGGAGTCAGGTGGAATTATGATAAAGCTTTTGACTATCCTCAGACTCAGGAGTATTTAAAGCACTTGAGYGTTTTATATAAAAACAAACTAAAAGCCTACTAAAACAAATGTCCAGTGCACACCTAAGTCCTTTGCCAAAGGAAAGGAAGAATAAAAGAACAAAGCACACATGAAAAACGGATGCTTGTCACATCGTTTGGGCACCATTGTGATCAGACAGGTAATCAGACAGTTCAGTGGTGAGTATGGGATGAACTCACTTAGAATAATTTTACTGCTTCAGGCACTGCAGATGAATTAATACAATTTCATTGTAGAAAAAATACAGACAATGGGCTTTTTTTTATCTTAACTTCGGTGGGTGCAGCACCTCATTATTTAGAAATATCTTCTAACAATCAGGTATTAAATCCTCTGTAYCCAGATTCCACAGGATAAAATACAGCAGGAATGCCAGTACACTTTGCAGTATTGAAAACAGAGAACAAGGGCACATATAACTTAAAAGGTCAGGGTTTTTAGCTGCCAGGAACAAAATTTAACTAAGGTAAATTACATAGTAATTCAACTTTTAAATCCTGAGATACTACAACTTTTCCTTTCCAAAATGTTTTAGCTTAATTCAAAACACAGTTGATCTTTCAGCACAGCCAAATGGGATATTTTGAGCATGTTTTGTGTCCTGTGTTTTCATGCCAGCCTTGTTTGTAAAGCATCAGATTTAATTTCAAATGTGCTGTGACTGTGTCCTCTTTGGAGACAAGTTCACTAATATTATTATAGCTTATTATCACTTTTACTTAAAGCAAATAATCTCAAACTGTCAGCAGAATCTAAAGAACTTGGAAAACAACAAAAAAAATAATCAATTTACCTTTAATCTTCTTGTACTTTTTGTACCATCTCCCAAACTCCTGGCACTTGGTTGCTGACACATTGGCATAGTATGTACTATTTACAATGGATGAAATCATACTCTGGAAACACAGAAAGAAAGAAAGACAAAAAGTGATTTAAAATATCTTCCACAATTAGAAATCTTTTCCAGGGAAAGCAAATGACATGCAAGTGCACAATGATCACCCATTYGTGACTTTAATATCAAAAGAACCAACTGATGAGTACAAAAAAATGGTTTTATTCTCCATCCTRTATGCCCAGCCATAAATAAAACCATAAAATAGTAACTATTTTGCACAATAATGTAAAAAAACGCAGTACAAACCTAGACTGAGACCTTCAGCTCCAGCTGGGGGGAATTGGGGGGGAGGGAATTGATATTAAAATATCTAAACTTCAGTTGCATAAGAACAGGCAGTGCCATTGTCAGACACGTGCTGTGCTCACTGCACCAAGCACCATTTAGGAACCAGATCCTAAAGGTAAGATTAGATGCTCCAGCATGCATCATCCAAATAATGCTTTTCAGATGTCTCTGTGCTGCTTCCAAATGCAGCAAGACTGCACAGCCAAGAACTGGAGAACATCCGTGCTATTCGCTGCAGAACAACAGTTAGGCAAATCAGTTAAATTAATATAATTTATAGAAACGTATGATTAGTCTTTGTGTGAAAAATCACCCAGAAGAGAAATTAACAGAGCCATTCAGAGCAAAGGGAACTACACATACTACAGCACAGAGCAGTCAAAACCCACAGGAAAGCTCAACAGAACTGAAATATCAGTTGTTAACCAGCACCTCTCCCTACCCTGCAAATTCCCCCCAAGCAACTCAGTACACACCAGCTGAAGAGAGGGCTGCAGAGAGGTTTTGCAGCACCTGATACTAATAAAAAGGTATTTGTTAATTGTGTAATTGTATAATTTTATGATTTTATRATTTTATATATGGGATGCTTCYGCCCGTAGGGTGGTGAATAGCCTCATTACTGATAGTTCTCCAGATTTATCCAGCCTCCTGTCCCATTCCCTGCAACATCACAGGATTCTGTCTGTTCCTAACCCTTGAGTTTTGGAACTCAACAAATGTCAGCAAAATTGAGAGACTTAAGGTAACTGGGGTGATAGAGATTACTTTCAGTCTTCAACAGGTAATTTCACTTTCAGTAAAATGGCTATTCTGAATTTTCACTCTACCTTTTCCACTCAAAGGGTGYTATGGTGCACTGCAGCAGAGTTTGAAGGCTATCAAGTAAGAGCCTTGTTAAGTAGCAGCTCCAATTTCTAAAACTGAGWTTCAATTTTCTAATTAAAATCAATATTTTGAGACATAAACCTAGCATTGTGGCAGTCAGCAGCAATTCCCTGCCCATAAATCTGCCCTTTCTCTACAGCATTTTAACAAGCAATAGAATACTGAAAGCCTAATAGAGTGATAGCCTCTGCCTAGGAAGGCTGTTGAACAAAGTTAGGCTAACCTGGGCATTTTTGCATCACTTTAGTTAAATTTCCATTCACTAAGGGGAAATTGTTT